TGTGGCAACATACTAAAGGTTAAGAGACAGAATGCAGTAAGTAGAACAAAATCCCTGAGGAAGATGCAATATCCATCAGGAGGGAAGGCAATTTCTGGCTGCAAATGAAACAAGAACATCTTATAGACTGTATGGTTGGAGGAGGTATTGTTCCCTGCTGCCCTGGTTAGGGACTGGGAAGGAGACCACAGCTATCTGTCCTTCACAGCTGAGGATCCTGATTTTATCAAAGTGTAGGAGATCTGCTGCTGCTTACAGTAGGAGCAGGATTATATGAGTTTTACTGTCTGGGACAAATGACTAGGTTGCTGGGGACATTTTCTGGAAAGCCTTTTTGAAATTCTGCAAGCAGCATCAGGACAGAGTTTATCTTGTTGCTCAAGGGCTTTGGCTAGCAATAGGACAGCTGAGGTTCCCTGGAGGATAGTGGAGTAAGAAGAATGGAGTTAAAGGCCTGGGGAAAAGGGAGAAGCAACACAGTGGACTTTGGAAAGAAAAAAAAAAAAAAAAGGAAATAAAGTATAATACACCTAGTTCATGAAACCTTGTGAAAGTCATTCATTAACTGACAGCCTTGACATTACATTAGTCTTGACAAGATATTGACTGTCTTGTATAGCATTTCAGCCTTGTGAAATTTAAAAAAGAATGAAAGGATGAAAGAATAATCCTGGAAAAAATATAAAGATGACAAAAAATCCCCTAAACAAACCAGGAGAGGTATAAGGAAAACTAAATCATGGCATCTGGAGTATTATGTTTTTTTAAAGAGAAGTTTAATTTACAAATATGTGAAAATTAAAATACAATATAAAAGCATTTTTTTTTCCCCCTTTTCTTGAGTCTTAGTCTGAGACCTTCCTTTCACAAGGGTTCTTTGGTCAAATCATACTTTTAAAAGAATAGGGGGTTTATAAGTAGGATGGATTTATTTGCATATTCTCTTTGTGCTAGTGGAACATTCAAATTTTAATGTACTTTCAGATAATTCTAATACAGAACTTCATATTACTAAAATGCTTGTGTCTAGGGATTTAGACCCAGGCAGCATCATCTGTACCAGTGAAAAGTAAGGAAAATCCACAAATATGTTTATGCTTGTTTTGCAAGAGGGAAAAACACGAAGACCACAGTGGAACTTAGCAATGGAGGAGAAAGAATTAGATCCCTATTCACATATTCTGTATCCTCACTGCAAACATGTTTTAGGAATACTTGATGACCTTCTATGTGAATACACCCATTTCCCAGCCCATAGTTTTCAGTACATTTCAGTACACCTTTTTTTTTTTTTTTTTTCCCCAAAGATGTATTTGCAGCTTGGTTCCTTAAGATGGACAGTGTCTTTAATTTTCTTGGTTCTAAATGATCATCACTGGGACTCTAATAAGAGTTCTTAAGAGATTTTCTAAACACCACTTGTGGATCAAAAACTGTATCTTTGGACATATAAAAGTGGAAAACTGGAGAGAAGTAATTTTATACTCTATTTCCAGATTCTGATATTACACCACTTCCTTGTTCATTAGAGCAAGGAAAAAACATCAAAGATTCAAGCTGCCAGACTGAATTCTACTCATGGAATAAAAGCAAATTATGTTCTCAGTGTAAAATGGAGAACATTTGTTCACAAAAAGAACATTTTCAAGAGTATTTGTAGGTCAAGGCTTAGCTGTAATGAGTTTGTTCTTGTTGCTCAGCTTTAATGAGTTTTTGAAAGAGAAGGAGAAACTATTGATGAGGACTGTCTAGCATACTATCCTGCGCCTTCAGGATTATTTCCCTGAATAGAGCTGCTCTTAGAACTGATACTATTTTCTTTGAAGAGTTACTATTTCCTAGTGTCTGCATAAAGTTTGGAAAAGCTAGAAAGAAGGCTTAAGAGGGAAAAGATCAATTTCCTTTCCTCAAATTCTGATCTTCATCAAACGTCATGTGAATGCTGTATGTGTGATTCTGTTGTTGCCTACACTTCCATAAATCAGGAGTAATGGTGTTCATGAGGTCAATATACAAAGCAGAAGGAAACTCAATAGCCCAGTTTTAGCTTCAGCATGATGCCACAGCTTGGGAAGGTGTATCAGGAAACTGTGCACAAAAAGCTAGGCAATACGTTGAGGAAGGGTCCCTGTACAGTACAGAGTTGGCAGAGAATCTCACAGTGAAGTAAGGTCCCAAGTATCACAGAGACCTCTTTATTTGTTACATGGATGAGTAAACTATTTTTATTACAACTTCTCAAAAATTCCAATATATTCTTTTAAATTACAAAGTAGGTTTCAGTGTATCAATAACTGAAGAAGCCTGAGATATCAGCAGCTGTCAGATTATCACTGAAAGAAGACAAAATTAGAAAGGCCACTGGGGAGGAACATGGCATGAGCCATCTCAAAAAGTTATTAGGAGATTGCTATTTTTTATTCTGACAGCAGACACCCAAAATACTTTCTTTCAGATTGATAGAGCCAAATCTGCTCCATCAGTTACAGATCTCTCTGCTTGTTCCATCTTGTCATCTGGGTAAGGTTCAATAATGTATCTCACCTCTGATACAGCACAATAGTTTTTCAGAATGTCCTAATATTTGCTGAAATTAACATAAAAGTTCCAAACCCCACCTCACTGAAAGTTTAAAATATCTAAAGGGAGCTGAGAAGACATTGCTGTGTAATGTACTCTTGCAATAATTTTCCCTCCTTACCCTACAGTTGCTTGAAATTGAAACCATTGTCTTGAATGATGAAACTGCCTGACCTTGCAGATTTCCGAACAAGCTTAGAAACTGCTTCACTACAGTGCAAACCAATAGCACATGGACATTGCTGTGAGATGTGATTAATATTGGTTTTCCTTCACTGTTTTGACTGAACAATCTTAGTGGAAAAAAAATCTTACAAAGCAAGACCAGTTTTTTTTTAAGCTACTGAAGTCTATTAGAGTCTATCAGAGTTTTCATATATCCCACAGACTGATTCACGTACACCCTAACAGGTTACATGAGGTATATCACTCTTACTGACCTTTGAGAACAGAAGTCTAAAAGTCACTCTGCTTTGGATTTTATTTTTTTTCCTGAAGTTAAAAAGTAATCCAAAGACATATTTTACTGCAGTGGTGAGGTTGAACTCTGAGAACAGCATTCAAATGGATCTGAAAATTGCTTTCCTTACCTTAAAATGTTGAGTATTGGAGTGCAATGCTGAGATTTTATTTTACATATATTTCACTCATCTCACTTACATAAGAGAAATTTTTTATTGGGCTGACAACTATCTTTAAGTGACATGACAGTCTGAACAACTTAGAGTGACAGAAAAGGTAATTTAATATTCTACTATGCTTGCCTTTCCACGAGAATCTCATTATCACTACTGATCATTCAGAATATCAAAAACTAAGCATCTCTTTTAGATTCTTGATGCTAATTCTCAGTTTCTATTCCCAGCAACCAAAATTATCTGCAGTGAAGAACTGAAGCTATCTGCCAATATTTGGTGCACTAACACACCAGCTGGCCCAAATCATGTCATTTTTCCACCTCCAGCTGTGTGAACAAAACAGAATCTTTGCCCAAAGACTCGTCCTTCTACACCTTGCAGTTTTTTTCCCAGTCTTGCGTAAAAAGTTGGATAACCTCTCCCTGTCATAAGTATGTTTCAGTATAGATTATGCTCCTTGTAAGGAATAATTGTGTTTAGGAAGCATCCAGCAGACATAAACACACTTGTACACCAATTTTAATTTTTCCTGTGGTTTGCAGAACCTTTCAAGAAAAGAATTTCACCTACAGTGATATTGCTCAAGTCATGAAGAAGGCAAGATGATCTTTGACTTGGACTAACAATTTTGTTAAATGTTAAGTGAAAGCAACTAAAATATCAGAACCTAAACATGGGATGATTCAAAACAAAACATGGTCATTGCTATTTTTACATGATTTTGCTGTATGTAAATGCAACACAGCTCATCCCACTTTTAATAAGAGGAAGTTCATGCTGTGGTATAGATCACTGCTCAGTCAGCTCTTGCAATACCTTTCTTGTGTCACTATAGCCTAAGGAGAAGCCTAAGAAGTAAACTGCAGAAATAAAACCATTATAAATGCTTATGTATCAAGTATTACTTTTAACAGACTTTCTCTGTCTACACAGGTTTTGCTGTCTCAGTCTAAAAGAGCAGTGTCAAATTCAGCAAAATCAATTCACCAGCATTTTTCCACTTGTTTGCCTACTTGGTATGGAGCTGATATTAATAAAATTAAACAAACAAACAAACAAACAAACAAACAAAAATAAACCAAAACATTAAATAGGGTCTGGCAGGGCCAAATTTTGCAGTCAGCTACTCTTAAGAATTATAAATTACTTAAGAAATAAGCTAGTTCAGCTGTATAGCTATTTCAGTAGCCATTGTGCAAGTTAGACACACGTATGCAGTTACTTATTATCTGTAAAAGGTGTATGTTAAAATAAATACATTTAAGTGTATAATTACTTTTTTTGCAGATGTTAACCATATGCAACACTAGGATACTATATCTCATTCAGCTTAATTTGCTGTTTGTCTCAAGGTAACAGAAGGCAGGTTGGAGAAGTTTGTGTACAGCTCCTCTTTTATAACTTCTTTTAACTATCCCATGAAGTACATGACAGACTACCATCTTAAGAGAAGACATTTTGTGCAATGTGATGATAAGCAGACAAGCAATTTCCATCAGCTATAGTCAGGGCTGTAAACACCTTATCTGATAAGTAAAAACACATTTCCTGAAAAAATACATTCCAAACTACCATCTTACCTTACACTGAAGGGCAGGAGACCAAGAGAAGAGGTTTCAAGTATGACCAACCATATGCTGGGTTCAGTTGTAAATGAAGATTAAATATAGTGTAAACAACTAATATTAACAGCTTCCTGCTATTATTTATGTATATTTCTAGTGAAAAGCACAATCAAGCATGCAATATAGACATAAAAATAAGAATAAAAAACCCATTAACCTCTTCTTCAGCGTTATGGGCGACTCCATTCTGCACTGGTCCTGAATCACTTGGTGGTGTTACTGCAACTTCCACTTTTGCACTTTTTTCTGTGGCATCATCCATAAATAAGGAGTGGGAAAACAACAAAACATTAAGAAACAAATCTATTAGTGAAAATGCTGTCATATATTCAGTCTGAGAAAATCATCAAATAATGAAGGTAGACCATGATCTGCCATTAACAGAGAGACCAAAATTCCACCTTCCATTTGCAAGTATATATTTTGAATAATTTTTTTATGAGTGGTGAGCTTGCATTTGAAGAAATTATTCTAATGTTACTCATGTCCTAGAAAAAAAAATATTCATTCAATATTCAGTGGGTTTTTTAATATGCTAAACTCAATGAGCCTAATACTTAAGGTAAAAAGTGACATATAGCATTCTCCCCAGACATTACAGAGTGCAACATGTAGCAATTACAGTTCTGGGGTTATAGAATCATAGTTTCATATAGGTTGGAAAAGACCTTTAAGATCATAGAGTCCAACTGTTAACCTAGTACTGTCAAGTCCACCACTAAACCACGTCCCTAAGTGCTACATCTACACCATACCTGCAGGGATGGTGACACAACCACTTCCCTGGGTAGACTGTTCCAAACCTTGGCAACCCTTTTGGTGAAGAAATTTTTCCTAATATCCAGTGTAAACCTCCCCTGACACACTGTGAAGCCATTTCCTCTTGTTCTATCTCTTGTCACTTGGGAGAAGAGACCAACATCCACCTTGCTACAAACTCATTTCATGTGGTTGAGCCTTCTTTTCTCGGGTCTAAACAACCCCAGTTCCCTCAACCGCTCCTCATAAGACTTCTTCCCTAGATCCTTCACCAGCTTCGTTGCTCTTCTTTGGATGTGCCCCAGCACCTCAATGCCTTTCTCGTAGTCAAGGGCCCCAAACTGAACACAGTATTTGAGGTGTGGCCTCACCGGTGCTGAGTACAGCGGGACAATCTCTTCCCTGTCCCTGCTGGCCACACTGGCCATCCATACAAGCCAGGATGCTGTTGGCCTTCTTGGCCACCTGGTCACACTGTCAGCTCATTCAGCCAGCTGTTGACCACCTCCTCCAGATCCATTCCACTGTGCAGCTTTCCAGCCACTCTTCCCTGAGCCCGTAGCATTGTGTGGGGTTGTTGTGGCTCAAGTGTAGGGCGCAGCATTCAGCCTTGTTGAATCTCAGCCCATAGATCCGGCCTGTCCACATCCCTCATAGAACCTTCCTACCCTCAAGCAGATCAACGCTCCCACACAACTTGATGATGTCTGCACACTTACTGAGGGTGCACTCAGTGCCCATGCTCAGATCACTGATAGAGTTATTAATCAGAACTGGCCCCAGTAGTGAGCCCTGGGGAATACCACTTGTGACCAGCCTCCAGGGTGGATTTAACTCCATTCACCACAACGCTTTGGGCCCAGCCATCCAGCCAGCTTTTTACCCAGTGAAGAGCATACTGCATCCAAGCCATGAGCAGCCAGCTTCACCAGGACAATGCTGTGGGAAACAGTGCCAAAGGCTTTACTAAAATCTAGGCAGGCAACGTCCACAGCCTTTCCCTCATCCACTAAACAGGTCAGCTTGTCATAGAAGGAGATTTGTCAAGCAGGACCTGTCTTTCATAAACCCATCCTGATAGGGCCTGATCACCAGGCAGTCCTGCACGTGCCCTGTGATGGTCTGCTTCATCACTTTCCCTAGCACTGAGGTCAGGTTGACGAGCCTGTAGTTCCCCAGATACTCCTTCCTGCCCTTCTTGTATGTAGGTGTCACATCTCTTAACTTCCAGTCATCTGGGACCTTCCCAGTTAGCCAGGACTGCTGAGAAATGCTTGAAAGTGGCTTGGTGAGCACTTCCACCCGTTTTCTCAGTATATATATATTCAACAAGATATAACTGTTGTAATACACTAACCCCTGCAATTAGTAAAGTTACTTCCAATCTGTAATTATGCTCTTTCTCATGCAGCAATGTGGGAAAAAGTTTAAATTAATCATCTAGTAACATCCAAACTCAGAGGATGAACTTTAAAATAGAATCCTCCTATAGTCCTTGTGCTAAACGTTTACAGGAATTAAAGGGATGAAATTATGCCTTTGGTTTCTTATGGCAAATTTATTCAAATTGATTCTTACTTTTATTATCTTGGAATTCTCTAAACAGTAATTATCTCTTTAAGTATGTCCTAGATAAAAATGTCAATGGCCAAAAATCCCTTGGATAATATAAAGTTATGGGGAATAGCCGTATGACATGTCTAACTCAAGTTCAAGATGCCTTATGCTATGCTCTTGTGCACCAAAGTAAATACAGCTGTCTAGTTACATTACTGCTATCCTGAGATTCTCCTAAATTAAAAATCTGAAATCGCAGCCACAACGCAGTGCCAGACTATCTGCAATTATTTCAGTGCATGTGTGTTGTCTCTTAACCCTGCAGCCAGCATTTTGGCTTATTAACAGACTGTCCCATCCAACTGCTTGATTCTGGAAGCAAATAGTATCTAAACATAGCACAAGGTCAGAAAAAGTGTCAACTAATGAAACAATTCAGCTTTTATCAATACACTGGCATCTGGTTTTCTAATGCAGGGATCATGCCAATGTAAAGTAGAGAGAACAGGACATAGTACAGATTTTCTTTTAGTGTAGGAACTTTTAAACTAAAATACAAATTCTTAACCCAAATGGAAAACCATAGTAAGCTAATTTTGCAGTTAGCATAGATGGACCTAAATGATTCTCAGCAAGTAGTAGATAGACAGATCAAATCTTAAATATGAAGATTTTGGGTTGTTTTTTTTGTGACAAGAGTGATACCACAGAAAACACATGTTCCCCTAGAGCAGCTCAATAAATTAAATAAATTTTCACACATAAACTGCAAGGAAGTTTCGTCTCTATTCCTGTCACTTCAACATATATCCAAAATCAGCACTGATTTTTTATTTTCAACTCTTCTGGAAGGCTTTCTAGATGCCTTAACTGTCTTTTTCTTCTTGCACTTAAGTCCTGTCTCTTCCATAAGTTTCATATTCTTTTGTACAGGGAATCAGAATATTTTACTAAGATAGCATAAATGAAGTAGAAGGAGAAATTGCTCCCTAAGGATTTGTAAGCAAAATTAAACAGTGAAAAAGGCCCTAAGGAACAGGTGATAGTACTGCTGCACTCACCATGATTAGCAGCTCCATTCTGCCTTTCACTGTCTTCCACCTGGCACTTCTTTTTGGCGATCTTATGCAGAATTGATGCCCTTTCCTTGAACTTTCCTAGAAGAAAGAATTGTCATTATTAAAATGAAGCCATTTTGAGAAACAAAGTTTTTTTGCCATAGCTTAGGCTTCATAAATCAGTATTGATAATCCATTTTCATCCCTCCTGAAATACCAAACGTTATTAAAGACTATCTGATGTTCCCATATATACTTTTAAAAAATTATTTGTAGTGGAAAGAAAAATGTAATTTTATTTTTTTTTATTCTGAAAACTCAGTAACAAATTGAACAAGAAATTGAAAACAAAAACTATTAATTTTCTTCAGAAGCAGTCAGTAAGTTTTCACCTATAAAAGTGCTACTGTGGAATTTTGGCCTAAACAGAAGATGAATACAGATGAATAAAGATATTATAAACAAACACAAACAGTTTCAGGTCTCAATTAGTGGTAGAGCAACACAGAATTTCAGATGAACCCATATATTCCGTCATGGTGATTGTGGTCAACTTTGTCACTTTGCACTCAGCTATGCGCCTGTGGCTTCTACAGATACTTCAGAAGGGGAAGAAAAATTCTCCAGAACACGTGATTTTCATACCAGCTTTTCAAAGGTAAATTTTCTTCTCAAACTGTCAGGTATTTTTTATCTTCCATGATGTTAACCATGCATCTCATCATCTAGACTGTGTCCAGAACAAATCATCCCATCCTAAGAGAGATCCCAGGTCCTGTCACTCTTTACTGATGACTGAGTCCAGATGACACATTAAAACTAGGCAATGTCAAACATGGCAAATGTTAAGTGAAATTAATCTTTCCTCTACTTTGGTTGATTTTTCTATGGAAGGACTCTTTGGACAGCTTATGACAGTCCATGTCATGTAGAAAGCTGATGTATCTGCCTTTCTTTATTGTTATCCTTATTGCTCTTTAAGTCTTTTAAAAATATTTTTAAAAATATAACTGGTGGCTATAGGAAAGTACACTTCTAATTAAGAAAGCTATTAACATACAGGGACCATGACTGTTTTAATTCTTCATCTCCAGTTAAAAAAATAAATTGAAAACTGTTGGTGTCCCTGCAGCAAAAACAACACAGGCTTAAGACCAAAAGATATTTCAGTGGAATCACATAATTGATTAACAGTGGGAAGTAACATTAGAAATCATGAATGAACTCAGTTGGATATAAATGAACTCAGTCACTGTTTCCAAGCTAAAAGAAAAGCTATTCAAGAATAAATCATTATTCAAGAAACAAATCCTGTCTTTCCTTCTCACAATCAGAAGCTTCAAACCTATTTACCAACACTTTTGTATGTGAAGAAGCATATGCACAGTGACTAGCAGCTATCATTTGCTGGAAAGTGGAATTAATTTGTTAACAGTAGATCACTTGGAAAGTAATAAAAATACTACAAATAGCAGTACTGTCTTTTCAGCATCCCCTATCTTTTCACAAACACATGATGCTCAAAAAAAGAAAAAAAATAGCTATTTACAATATATTGCAAATATCCTTTTTGACACATGGTACCTAGAATTAAATTGCCTGCAGAAAAGAATCTAAGCATAGAACACAATCATAAATAGTAAGCCATCTCATTATTTCAGTGCACAGGGTCAGTGGCAGATATTTCAGTTAGAAGGGGAAGAAGAAACAAAAAGTTAAAGAAAGAGAGAGAGAGAGAAAGGGAATTGGGATATCAGATAAGAGAAAGAAAAAAACAGAGGGAAAAATGCAAATATTATTTCCAATATTTTAAGCTGAAATATTAGGAGTCAAGTCTGTTCCTAACTTCCTGTGAAACACTAGGGGCATTTAGAAAATGCTTATCCAGAAGCATGTGTAGATACTGAAACATGCCTGCATAATTTTCATACAATGTGTATGTCAGTTTGCTAAAGGATTCCTTTAGGTTTCAGACTCCAACTCCGATTCATATGTTGGAGAATTTGGCTTGTGATGTCCCAAATAAACAAATTCATTTCTTTGCAAGCAATGCAAATGATGCAACTGAGACATTGTCTAAGAAATATCTGTGGATCCATCCATGTGTCCACCTACTCCAGGATGGTGTAAGACCTTTTAATCTAAGGTTAAATCAATAAAGTTAAAGTCATGTAGAATTCTATAAGGACATTCTAGTCTCTTGTTTGAGATTGTTTGAAATTGTTTAGGTTTTTTCAATAGAGAAATTTGAGCCATTATTGAACTGAAAAGAAAATGCCTCCACAGAGATTCACACTGGTTTAGATAAGTTTAATTGGTCTTGTCTTCGATTTTTTTTTTCACATTCCCAAGTGTTGCCTCCCATCTTTAGGAAGAATTTCTTACACTGACTTTTAACAGTAAAGCTACACTGCTTCACTTAGGAGACTGTTCTACAGTTATGTCATTGTCATGGAAATTAACCTCAACATGTGAAATGGAAACTGTATTTTGGTTTATTTTTATTTCTCACTACATGCATGGTTCAGCTTACATTTTTTTACATCCATCGTTTTCCCTTCCATTTGAATCACTCAGTGCAGGTAATAAACTGTGTGAAGAAATGATTAAAAGACATAATATTGACTATCAAAAGCATGAAACTGAGGAAAGCAGTAGTAGTAGTCTGCATGAAGACAGGAACATGTGAAAAGACAGCAGAGCTATCCTTCTCCCACCTTTTCCCTGACATTTTCCTCCTTCAAAACAAATCAAAACTTGTTCAGTAAAGGGGAAGTACAGAGTCATCAGGAAGAAGGACCAGCTCAGGTTATTTCTAAGTCATTCAAATTTACAGAAAACTCCAAAGGTTTAATTTTAGACACAGATCTTCTCTCATGCCTTTTTTGTCATCTTCAGGCAGGGTTACTAAAACAATCCATAGGAATTTTATGTTACTGTTCTTATTTCTTGGAGAAGGTAGAAGCTTATGTTTCCTCTGTAACAGTCCTATGTACTAGGATTTGCCTACCTAAGAGTAATTTTCACACCATCTGATTCTATGAGAGTTTAGGTGAGTGAAAATGCCTGATTCCACGAACCCAAAATAGGATAGATTGTCATAGAAATTTCTCAAATAACATGGATTCACTGAACTCGGAATGATTTTGTATCTTATTTTAATTTAGAAATAATGGGGTGCAAGAAACAGATCAAGGCCAGGTGATTAGCAAAGAAGGTAGCTTAAAACTAAACTGGTTTTATTTGAATATATGCAAACAAATCATTGTTATATAATATACATACACCTTGATCTGCATAAGTGACTCCAGCTGGCATTAGTTGGCAGAGATTCTCTTCCTGATCAAGAATATATTAAAAAAGCCAGTCCTTTGATGACAACTAAATTGCAGATTACAGATTCCATAGGTCAGAAAAGCCTTTGATTTGATAGGAAAATAGTTAATCTTCAGAAATTCACTCATTACAAAATTCAAGACTTCACCATTTGTCTAGTTTTCAGTCTCTGATCAGATGCAAATTACTACATCTATGCAGCTATAGCCAAGCTTTCATGAGCCTTAAGATGTCATATCTGTGGTGGTTGAGCAGCCTGAACTGTTCCTATCAGTCCTGCTCGTGGTCAGTTGTGGAACACAACTAGTGGGTCACAACTGATCAAATCCAGAAATCCACCTCACATGCTTTCTGCTTTAAAATCTCACAAAAGCATCACATGAAAATAAATGCAGTTATGTCATGTTGTAGGCTGTTGGTGGAGGTTACTTGACAGCACAAGATTATTGTGAGGGTCTCTTCCCATCTGCTAGGGTCTATTTTCTCTCCCAGTTGGACCTGATTAATCTGCCATTAATTTAAAGTCCCTTTCAGGCCAAATAGGAACAAACAAAACAATAGAGATCAGTTTCCAATATCTGGAGCATAATGGCCCTCTGGCCATTAGGGTATATCTGATTGTGCATTGTGATCTAACCATTACTTTTTGTCTCTGTTCTGATGTCGAAGCAAGAATAGCTGTGCTTGTGCTTCTCCACGAGGACTGAAAGATCTGCTATCTATCTTCACTCAGGATTTGAAGACCTGGAGATAAGGATCTAATGTATTAGAAAAAAATCCATGGATTTGTAACTGGGTTTACATATTCCTGTGTCTAACTTTCTGTACAAAATGTATAAAAAGCTCAGTCAGAAAAGGAAGAGAAAGAAGAAAACAGATAACGAAAAATAAGTCTGATGCAGAGTGATAGCGATTATCCTTTTGAAAATCCAAACAGAAAGTACAAAATATAGCACACTTTTATTTAAATACAGCTTCTGGGATACACTATTCGTTACCTGTTTTGTGAAACACATGTGAAAACAATGATGAGAGTTGTATTTGAGAAGGTAAACTGTATCATAGACTCTTGACAGTGTTGATACTCCTAAAGACAAAGGGCTTCATTTCTTATTTTTGCTTATGGAAGGTTTTTGATATTGTGCAGTATGGTCCTGGATTACTTATTCATGAGGAGTGCTTTCTGAGATGACATTGAATATTAACAGTATCATTTTAGCATTGGCACGGTATTAATATATATACATATTGTATGTATCATATTTGCATAGGTATTTTCCCCCAAGTTGCTGCATTTAACTGTCAATAGAGTATTTATGAATATCAGAAGGTTAACAATGTAGTGACTACTTCTGTAATGGTAGGCTTAACACCAGCATAAAAATTAAAACCTTTAACATACACAATGCTGAAGCTACAATGAGATTCTTCGCATCTTGATTGTAATGAAGACTGAGATGAGACATACTGCAACACTTTTTGCTTTAGTAGCTATGTCTGGATGGCCTGGGTTAATAAGTAATTTCAAGTGTTTGAAAGGTGTATTTAAACAACACAGACAGCACTATTTGCCCAGTAAAATCTCCTCTCAGACATTTTTTCTTACATCAGTTCTACCTCTGTGAATCAGATGATGAATCCGGGCAACGGAAGGTGGTGTGGAAAGATTGCTTTATGAGCTCATGCCTGCTACAGGGCAAAACAGCATCTACCAACATCAGGGACACAGGTGGAACAAAGAGTCTCCTACAGTCAGCTGCGGAATAGTACACTATATTTGAGTATCAACAGCAGATACAGAAAGTGGGAAATAGTCAAGTTATCACTTTTCCCCTCTAGTCAGGCTGTCTCTTATACACA